TTTTTTTTTTTCTTTTTTGTGGTTGTTGGGCTTGAACTCTGGGCTTGGGCGCTGTCTCTCAGCTCTTCAGCTCAAGGCAAGTACTCTACCACTTGAGCCACAGTGCCACTTCTGGTTTTCTAGTGGTTTATTGGAGATAAGAGTCTCATGGACAGAGTGCAAGGTTAGATTGGACCTTGTAATAGATTCAAGGCCAGATTCTGCAGTGTGAGACACTATCTCAAAAACAAAGACTGTGATTTGAGAGAGGGCGTGTCTCATGAGGTAGGGCTGCTTGTTTAGCATACTTGAGGCCCTGGGTTCAATCCCCTGTACTGCAGAACAAAAAACAAAAACAAATCATTTATGTTTTCTTTGGTACTCATTATATATACTAGCATTGTTTGTTTCCCATAAAATGTTTCCCTTAATCAAATAATAAAACCAAATAAAATAAAAACAAAAAAAAAGAGTCTCATGGATTTTCTTGCTGGGGCTGGCTTTGAACCGCCATCCTCAGATCTCAATCTCCTGAGTAGCTAGGATTACAAGCGTGAGCCGCTGTCGCCTGGCTTCAGGTTCTTTTCAGTTAGAAATAGAAGGTCATTCCAGGGTACTTTGTAGAAATGATTCTGTACACCAAAGAGCAAGAACAAACAATGTATGTTGTGAAGGATTAATAAGATTACCACCAAAAAAACATGTTTCCCTTGAATCTGATAAAAAAAAAGGATATGACATTCCAAATATGCTATGGCTTTAACAATGGAGAAAATGTAAAAACAAAATGGCAGCAGGCCTTTAAGTCGTTACTGGATGGATGCACAGATGTGGGCAGACTTCACACTGCTTTGCCCTATGTAAAAGCTATGAGAGAATGACTGGGATCACCCACAAGAGGGCACTCAGTTTGAGGTGTGGGCACCCTATATGAAACTTGTGTACCCTGTATGAAATAGGAGTGTACTGTATAAACTCAGGTGACTAAGGATAGGCATGGGACATAGTGGCATTCTGACTTCATCCTCTATAAGCCATTGTTTCCACCCTAACTTGATTTGAGGATTGTATAAAGTAGACATGACTGTGGGGAAAAAAAAGAGAAACATCCAAGGGTCCCATTCTACATCACAAAACAACTCAGCAGGTAATAACCTGTGAGTCTTACTGTTCAGAAACCACTGCTCAAGAAAAAAAGGGGGGGGACATTTCCCAGGCCCTGAATTCCACCCCCAACCCAAATAAGAGCATTGGCCTATATCAGCACTCAAGATACAACTATCAGATAGTGCCTGGTGCACACACACACACACACACAAATACACATGTATACACAGGCCCCAGGCTTGACAAATAGAGGAAATGTAAATGGAAAGAATAAGGACATAAAGGAACTAATTTCAGATACAAAGTTCAGACACACACACACCCTACCCAGCTAGTAAGCATTAAATTAGACTAACATCATTTACATATGCCCTGCAAGAAATCTGAAAGAAGTAGCTTCTCAGCATACCACACAGTCTCTACAAACTTCACTGTTTCTTGTAATTAAAGGAGGATTGTTAGAAACCAAAGTCCCTGAATCTAGATTTAAAAACAAAACTAACAAAAAAAATAAAAACACCGGGGACTTGTTCTAATCACTAGGACCTGGCTCTATGCCTTTTCATAAACTCGGTGCAATAAGGATTGGAGTTGTAGTTGTAGGCACTTCAAACAGGAAGCCCAGAAAACCCAGCAGATTACTGACCCATCAGATGCAACACATTTGCTATGCAGTGTTCCCCCTGATCTCATTAAATAAATCTTGTGTTGTAGCCAAAGCATATGAAAACGCTGTATACCATAATCTGCTCTTTAATCAATGGTCTTTACCTTACACTGAGCAGATAACAGAAGGAAATTCCAGATGACATATGGAAAGAGTTAAACACTGATTCAGGTTTAAAATAACCACCACCCCCTAACTAAAAGCTCAACATTATTAAACACAGCCACTATTTGCCAACAGAACCCCCATTTTTAGTGTGCAGCAATCATTTAGGAAGACCTACTATGTACCAAGTTACATTGTGGACACCTGATGTATAAACACCAATGAGATAGATACTGAGTCTAGGCAACATCTAAGAGGAACTGGCCAAGGGAGGAAAAACAACCTGCTCCCACACCTCACTCCACACCAAACCCAAAAAAAACAAAATGCCTTCAGCAGAGCCCAAAATAATATCGAAGTTTTCAAACTAAGTGAACTTTTTTTAGCTATCTTCCTACTTCAGTTCTTCTTCAGTCCTTGAACCCCCACCCCCAAGACAATAACTTAGCTAAATTGAAAGGCCAGGAGTCTTGAATAAGTGGAGGAAAATCTAAACAAAACATGCTGATGACTTTGTCTAAGCCCTAAGCCCCTAAACAGACTTTTTCAAAAGGTTCTCTTCTTTTGTGTCTTATTCTTCTCCTCTAGTAAGTGAAAAGGAACACATTTTCAGTCTTTCCTTTTGTTAACATATTTACTCTTCCCTGCCTCCCTTTCATCCTGACCTCAATAATCACCAAAGTTGGTTTTGAATTTCACACTTAATAAAATACTCGCATAATAACTTGCAGATTATTTGTGCAATGATCTTCACTTTACAACGGAGTAAAATGAGGGTCTAACAGAAGAAACAATTTCTAAAAAGCCAAACCTTTAACCGAAAAGCTGGAACTAGAATCCGAGTCTTCATAGCCAAATTCAAATCTTCTGTGACACTGTCCTGACTTCTACTGATTTGCATTGCCATGTCTCAAGACCTTTCTTTTTCCACCTCTCTTTCTCTGTCTCTCTTATTACAATGTTATAACTAGTCGCCCTCTTATAGAAGAATATAAAATAAGAGCCCTTACAGTTCCTGCTGGAGAGTTTTAAAAGCTAAGTCACTCCAGAAAAAGACATGAAAACACATATGCAAAGATTTTTCTATTTACAACCTCCTTAATACACCCTTATCTGTTTTGCCATTCCCCTTCAGATCTCTCCCACACAGCTCCAAATGACTCATCTCCTAAAACTCTCTTTGATCGTATTTCAAGGTTCAAAAACCTTTGGTGTCTCTCACTACTTAGAGAGTAGAACAGAAATCCACAGCTCCAGCATTCCGGGCCTGACTTAATTCTTCTAAGTCTATTACACAAATCCTAGATTTGATAACCCAACAAATAATACTAATGCTACACTCTGCTCTCCTTCAAAGAAGGCTCATCCCTTCTGCGCACTGCCCTCTCAAACAGCCATTCTCTGCCTAAACCGACTGCATTACAAATCTCTTCCCCACACTTGTAACCTAGCTCATCTTTGTCCTAGTGTTAAAGAAACAATAACCACAAAAAAACACAACCCAGAAGTGGACAGTGGCTCAAGTGGTAGAGCGCTAGCCTTGAGCTGAAGAGCTGAGGGACAGCGTCCAGGCCCAGAGTTCAAGCCCCACGACCGGACCCAAAAAAAATTTTTTTAACTTGATTATGGGCTCTATAGGAAAAAGACAAATCATAGAATATTAAAGCCCTTTGCAGGGCCAACTACATTAAATTCATCCGAAGAAGCTTTGTGTGTGTTTGTGTGTATGTGTGAATGCCTCCCCTGGGACTTGAACTCAGGGCCTGGGTGCTGTCCCTGAGCTTTTGTGCTCAGGGCTAGTGCTCTCCCAGTTGGAGCCACAGGTCCATTTCTGTGGATTGAGTCTTTTGCTATGTGGACTGACTTTGAACCATGATCCTCAGATCTCATTAGGATTATAGGTATGAGCCACTGGCACCAGGCTTGGAAAAGCTGTTTAAAATACACACTGTCAGATCCAAGGGTATGGAGTAGTCTTAAAAATCTTTCCCAGTCCTCTATACTAGGGAATTCAAAGTTAATAGAACATTCTCCACTAGCAGTTTGGTTCTCTCAGCTGGTGCTAATGTTGCAGCTGGACCCACAATCAACTCATGATGTGAATCTAGATTTAAGCTTGGCAGAATCTCCAAACATCTAAGCCTGAAACAATTTAAGATCTCAGTACGTGCTGTACAACCAAACGTAGCTAATGAAAGACACTGAAAGGTACCCAACTTTGCTCATTTGTTCTGTTGTATTGGATTACCTGTGTCTCCCCATCCTGTTATATAACAATTGGAGGCAGTTTTGTGTGGCCTCTCTCTCCGAAGGGGTAAACAAGCTGGCAATACATGACTACTGAATCGGGCACATTGCTCCTCTGGTCCTTGTAACCTCACCAGGGCGATGTCATAGTCACTGCTATCTGGCCGATAGTCCCTGTGAATCACAATCTGTTGAACTCCAATTTCTTCTTCAAATTCCTCCGGCACCAGAGTATGATAATCCCCAACACGAACAGCATAGTTCCTGGTATTGTTACCATACCTGAGAGAGAAAGCTGGTGAGAAGCGTGTTCCAGATACTGAAAATCGGTGACTGACAGCCAAGGATGCTAGCAGAGATCATGGAAGGCTCAGTTCCAACTTATTGGACACTTGGTAAATATAAACTATCTTTGTCTTTCTCTGTCCCAGTGCTCACTGTCTCCTCCTGGGAACCTGTTGCAATCACCTCTTATTTCCATTTCACTATGAAGTCTAGATTACCAATTAATCTTTATTTTCTGCAGAGCAAATGCGGAAAATAAGTGAAAACAAAGATCAACACCTATCAGATTCTCCAAAGGGGAAAAAATAAAAAAGGATCAGAACAGGAACAAATAACATAGGGCAGGATTATTGTCCTACATTTTTCATTTTTTTTTTAACCAAGGTTTTAAGTTCATCCTGAAAGACAGTATTATTCTCATTCCTAGCATGGACCAAATGCAAACCCTGTTTTCAGGTCAGCATATACACATTCTCCCCCCTCTCCTCCCCCCTCTCCTTCCCTCCCTCCCTCCTTACCTCATCTCAACTACTAAGCACCAAATACTTCACACTTCCAAAATTTTGATTTCAAAACCCTCATACTTTGCCACCTTGTATTTGTGTAGCTCTATAACTCTTGAATTCTTTGACTCCAGTGATTTTTCCATTCCACCCCTCTACTTATGGCCGACCTTCTTATCTGCCTTGGACTCAGCTGTCTATGGCCACAATTAGTTTGGCAAAATGCTCCATCCTTTTGCCTGCTCAAAATGGATTCTGGTTTTATCACCTCTTCTCATACTCGGTGCTGGCATCTGAATGTTAAAGGGGAAAGCACATAGGTAACAGCTCTCACCTTAACAGTGGAACCAAAACTTGAGAGTCATATACACTTTACAAGACCTCTACTTGAATGTGAGCTTAAAGTTAGCCTCCTGCTAGACTCAGTGTCTTAGGTTTATAATCACAATACTTGAGAGAAGAAGATCCCAAATTCAATATAGTCTGAGCTACATAAAAGACTCTCCCAATACATTTCCACAGACAGATAGGAAAATAGACAAAAAGATAGACTCCTAGATATATAGAAAGATAGATACATAGATATATAGATAGACATAGCTAGATAGAAAGATGGATAAATAGGTAGAGATAGATTGATTGATAGATAGATAGGGTTCTAAGTAGGTCTCTGACCTTCTGTAATTACTGACTTACATGGCCATTTACTATTGTTCCAATAATTGTAATAAATTCTATGACCTTGAAACTCCATGTTCAACCTTAAATCACCACCTCTCTTTAAAGTGCAGAGGCTTTTCAATTGTGCCTAAAGAACAGCTTCTTACAGGTTCCACTTCAAAAATTAAGTAAAAAGTTTAGAAGTATGAAAAATCATCAAGTTTTCAAACAACCCTCACTTCTGCTTTCTGCATAGTATCACAACAGTTGAGTATAATTGTGCCTAAAGAAGAGGTTCTCAGGTTCCATTTCAACTGTTAGGTAAAAGTTTAGGATTCTAAAAAATAATTAAGTGTTTAAATAACCTCACTTCCACTTTCTGTGAAATATCATAAAAAATTTAACTTATTAACAGAATACTCTGGCTTTTAAAGGCAGGCTGGGACTCCTGCCCCTGCATACTGCAAATCACTGGGGAGTAAGCACCCAAAGACATTACTAATAGGTATCAAAGTACCCAGTATTGTGTTCATATACTATGTTCTGAGATCAACTCTATTTTAGGCAGGTGTCCCCTAGAATTAGTATGCTTACCAATCTGGCCTTCAGCAATTATAAACTGAAAATAAACCATTTACCTTAATAAGAAGGAAAAAACACCATTCTTGTCAAAATGAAAAGCTTAGCACCTACACTTTTATTTATTTTATTTTTATTGTTGTGTCAGTCATGGGGCCTGAACTCAGGGCCTGGGTGCTGTCCCTGAGCTCCATTTGCTCAAGGGTAGCACTCTATCATGTTGAACCATAGCTCCACTTCCAGTTTTCTGGTGGTTAATTGGAGATAAGAGTCTGTAGGCATGAGTCCCCAGCATCCAGCTGTACCTACACTTTTCAAGTGGTCCTAATCTAAAGAAATAGATCCTGTAAACCTAAGCATGGACTCCCCAACTCCTTTAACCCATTATTAGTGAGAGTGGATTCACACTTGAGATTTGAAGAGCAGCCTACAGAACTCTGGATTCATTTCCCAGTAATTCGTCTTCTACAGTCACTTCTCCTAGTTGATGTAATTTTAAGTTTTAGGGATAAAACTCTGGCCAAAATTCCCAATATGCTAGTAGATTTTGATACATATACTGTGGTTCTTAGATTCTCAAGAAAGCATAAAAAGAAGCCTCTTTTTCTATGTATAAAGTCTATTTCTATGTATTTGAGTTGAACTTTGGGTATCTTTCTAGGATTTGTTTTTGTCCTGAGTTCAAACTCAGGACCTTGTGCTTGCTAGGCTGACACTCTAACCACTTGAGACCCACTTCAAGCTGGCTTTTTACTGGTTTCACTGACTTTGGGAAGGTCTCACTGACTTTTCTGCGAAGGCTTGGCTTTGAACCATGATCTTCCAGCCTCCTAAGAAGCTAGGATTACAAGGGTGAGCCACTGACGCCCCATAGACTGTTTATTATATTAAAAAATGCTTCTAAAGTAAACATTGCTAATTTTGACTGACACTTCATCCCATTGTTTGCTTTGCTGAAATGCTTTCCACTCCCCCTCAAACAAAACTTGGATGAAATTCTCAGACAAGTTTGAGCAAGAGGGAAGCTGAGACCCAGCAGTTTAGTAAAACTATATGTCCCAGTTTATCTGGGATTCTAGGGTTCGAGAAGACAGTTCCCCCCCCCCGCACTAAAAAAAAAAAAAACATTAAAAATTCAAGCCAGGCGCCAGTGGCTCACACTTATAAACCTAGCTTTTCAGGAGGCTGAGATCTGAGGATCACAGTTCCAAGCCAGCCCGGGCAGAAAGTCCCTGTGAGACTCTTACCTCCAATTAACCACTTAAAAAAAATAAAAGGAAGTGTCACTGGGACTCAACATGGTAGGGCATGAGCCCCGAGCGAAAGAGCTCAGAGATAAGAACAGCCAGGCACTGAGTTCAAGCCCCATAACCAAAACAAAAGAATGAAGAAATAGTTCAGGTTTTAAGGTCATTTGTGTGTGTGTGTGTGTGTGTGTGTGTGTGTGCTGTCTGAACACACATATCTGCTATTACTAGAATCTGTTCTTTTCTGGAGGAAACTCAAAAAGAAGTTCACTAAAGTTGTTTATGAGAACAGTTCCAGCTGCTGGGGCAGAAGTAACCTCCTCAGTAGAATCTTGCATTGAGCTTTACAGGAAGTGGTTTTAGTGTGACCTGCGATAGAGTACAAGTCAGCAAAGACCTTGTCCTCTAGGGCTTTGTTCTATCATACAGATGATGATGGATTATGTCAGCCATCTGATACACTGCGTTCCTAAAAAGTAAGTTCTCATTACCTCTGGGGCTTATCTTTCTAATGAGAAAGATCTACACATTCCTGATTTTTCCAAAGCAATAATCGCTTGATCATTTCCAGCTGCTATGGCATTCCTAGGCAAAAAGTCAAAAAGATAAAAATCAGGTAAAGTTATATTCTTGAGCAAACCAAATTTGGAGTAGAATTTCTCTCTCTCTCTCTCTCTCTCTCTCTCTCTCACACACACACACACACACACATAAAGGAGTCCTTGTGTCAGGTATGGACATTCCTCTAAAATAGTGTGTGTTATCCAAATGGGCAATTAGAAAGAATGAATTTCTTGCTCAGATTTTTTTTGTTTTTTTTTTTCTTTTTTGTGGTTGTTGGGCTTGAACTCTGGGCTTGGGCGCTGTCTCTCAGCTCTTCAGCTCAAGGCAAGTACTCTACCACTTGAGCCACAGTGCCACTTCTGGTTTTCTAGTGGTTTATTGGAGATAAGAGTCTCATGGACAGAGTGCAAGGTTAGATTGGACCTTGTAATAGATTCAAGGCCAGATTCTGCAGTGTGAGACACTATCTCAAAAACAAAGACTGTGATTTGAGAGAGGGCGTGTCTCATGAGGTAGGGCTGCTTGTTTAGCATACTTGAGGCCCTGGGTTCAATCCCCTGTACTGCAGAACAAAAAACAAAAACAAATCATTTATGTTTTCTTTGGTACTCATTATATATACTAGCATTGTTTGTTTCCCATAAAATGTTTCCCTTAATCAAATAATAAAACCAAATAAAATAAAAACAAAAAAAAAGAGTCTCATGGATTTTCTTGCTGGGGCTGGCTTTGAACCGCCATCCTCAGATCTCAATCTCCTGAGTAGCTAGGATTACAAGCGTGAGCCGCTGTCGCCTGGCTTCAGGTTCTTTTCAGTTAGAAATAGAAGGTCATTCCAGGGTACTTTGTAGAAATGATTCTGTACACCAAAGAGCAAGAACAAACAATGTATGTTGTGAAGGATTAATAAGATTACCACCAAAAAAACATGTTTCCCTTGAATCTGATAAAAAAAAAGGATATGACATTCCAAATATGCTATGGCTTTAACAATGGAGAAAATGTAAAAACAAAATGGCAGCAGGCCTTTAAGTCGTTACTGGATGGATGCACAGATGTGGGCAGACTTCACACTGCTTTGCCCTATGTAAAAGCTATGAGAGAATGACTGGGATCACCCACAAGAGGGCACTCAGTTTGAGGTGTGGGCACCCTATATGAAACTTGTGTACCCTGTATGAAATAGGAGTGTACTGTATAAACTCAGGTGACTAAGGATAGGCATGGGACATAGTGGCATTCTGACTTCATCCTCTATAAGCCATTGTTTCCACCCTAACTTGATTTGAGGATTGTATAAAGTAGACATGACTGTGGGGAAAAAAAAGAGAAACATCCAAGGGTCCCATTCTACATCACAAAACAACTCAGCAGGTAATAACCTGTGAGTCTTACTGTTCAGAAACCACTGCTCAAGAAAAAAAGGGGGGGGACATTTCCCAGGCCCTGAATTCCACCCCCAACCCAAATAAGAGCATTGGCCTATATCAGCACTCAAGATACAACTATCAGATAGTGCCTGGTGCACACACACACACACACACAAATACACATGTATACACAGGCCCCAGGCTTGACAAATAGAGGAAATGTAAATGGAAAGAATAAGGACATAAAGGAACTAATTTCAGATACAAAGTTCAGACACACACACACCCTACCCAGCTAGTAAGCATTAAATTAGACTAACATCATTTACATATGCCCTGCAAGAAATCTGAAAGAAGTAGCTTCTCAGCATACCACACAGTCTCTACAAACTTCACTGTTTCTTGTAATTAAAGGAGGATTGTTAGAAACCAAAGTCCCTGAATCTAGATTTAAAAACAAAACTAACAAAAAAAATAAAAACACCGGGGACTTGTTCTAATCACTAGGACCTGGCTCTATGCCTTTTCATAAACTCGGTGCAATAAGGATTGGAGTTGTAGTTGTAGGCACTTCAAACAGGAAGCCCAGAAAACCCAGCAGATTACTGACCCATCAGATGCAACACATTTGCTATGCAGTGTTCCCCCTGATCTCATTAAATAAATCTTGTGTTGTAGCCAAAGCATATGAAAACGCTGTATACCATAATCTGCTCTTTAATCAATGGTCTTTACCTTACACTGAGCAGATAACAGAAGGAAATTCCAGATGACATATGGAAAGAGTTAAACACTGATTCAGGTTTAAAATAACCACCACCCCCTAACTAAAAGCTCAACATTATTAAACACAGCCACTATTTGCCAACAGAACCCCCATTTTTAGTGTGCAGCAATCATTTAGGAAGACCTACTATGTACCAAGTTACATTGTGGACACCTGATGTATAAACACCAATGAGATAGATACTGAGTCTAGGCAACATCTAAGAGGAACTGGCCAAGGGAGGAAAAACAACCTGCTCCCACACCTCACTCCACACCAAACCCAAAAAAAACAAAATGCCTTCAGCAGAGCCCAAAATAATATCGAAGTTTTCAAACTAAGTGAACTTTTTTTAGCTATCTTCCTACTTCAGTTCTTCTTCAGTCCTTGAACCCCCACCCCCAAGACAATAACTTAGCTAAATTGAAAGGCCAGGAGTCTTGAATAAGTGGAGGAAAATCTAAACAAAACATGCTGATGACTTTGTCTAAGCCCTAAGCCCCTAAACAGACTTTTTCAAAAGGTTCTCTTCTTTTGTGTCTTATTCTTCTCCTCTAGTAAGTGAAAAGGAACACATTTTCAGTCTTTCCTTTTGTTAACATATTTACTCTTCCCTGCCTCCCTTTCATCCTGACCTCAATAATCACCAAAGTTGGTTTTGAATTTCACACTTAATAAAATACTCGCATAATAACTTGCAGATTATTTGTGCAATGATCTTCACTTTACAACGGAGTAAAATGAGGGTCTAACAGAAGAAACAATTTCTAAAAAGCCAAACCTTTAACCGAAAAGCTGGAACTAGAATCCGAGTCTTCATAGCCAAATTCAAATCTTCTGTGACACTGTCCTGACTTCTACTGATTTGCATTGCCATGTCTCAAGACCTTTCTTTTTCCACCTCTCTTTCTCTGTCTCTCTTATTACAATGTTATAACTAGTCGCCCTCTTATAGAAGAATATAAAATAAGAGCCCTTACAGTTCCTGCTGGAGAGTTTTAAAAGCTAAGTCACTCCAGAAAAAGACATGAAAACACATATGCAAAGATTTTTCTATTTACAACCTCCTTAATACACCCTTATCTGTTTTGCCATTCCCCTTCAGATCTCTCCCACACAGCTCCAAATGACTCATCTCCTAAAACTCTCTTTGATCGTATTTCAAGGTTCAAAAACCTTTGGTGTCTCTCACTACTTAGAGAGTAGAACAGAAATCCACAGCTCCAGCATTCCGGGCCTGACTTAATTCTTCTAAGTCTATTACACAAATCCTAGATTTGATAACCCAACAAATAATACTAATGCTACACTCTGCTCTCCTTCAAAGAAGGCTCATCCCTTCTGCGCACTGCCCTCTCAAACAGCCATTCTCTGCCTAAACCGACTGCATTACAAATCTCTTCCCCACACTTGTAACCTAGCTCATCTTTGTCCTAGTGTTAAAGAAACAATAACCACAAAAAAAAAAAGAAATAAGCCTCCTCAAAAATTTATGTTAAAAAGCATCCCACCTCTCTCTAACATTGGCAGTATTTGAAGCAACAGGCAATTGCCACTAAATCTCCCTTTGAGGTGTGCCATATTGTTTCTTGGTGGCATGGCACTCAGAACTAAGCATGGTTCTCTCTGATCAAGTGAGTGTACTTTCAGTCAGGTGATGGTGGCTCACACCTGTAATCCTAGTTGCTCAGGAGGCTAAAATCTAAGGATCGCAGTTCAAAATCAGCCCAGACAGGAAAGTCGGTGAGACTCTTAGCTCACCAGAAAACCAGAAGTGGGGCTGTGGCTCAAGTGGTAGAGCACTAAAAAAAAAAAGTGAGTGAGTGCCTGAAACTAGCCTGAGCATAGGAAGACAGGACAGCAGATTCTTCGCTGCTTTTTCTGGACACTGTGCTATCATTCATTGTTAGCTAAGACTGAATTAATGTGGTGGGAAACCACATGACACAAGTGGTGCGAAATAAAATGGTGGGCCACTAAAATCTATGAACCTTTCTCACATGTGCTCTGTGTAAGCCTCCTTTCCTGGAATTAAAGACGGCAGTTTGCTTTATCTTTCTGCTGTCTTACTAGAATCAGCCTGTCTTTTGCTATCATGGTCTCAGCTCAGTTCTTAAGAGAAGCCCTAATCATAACTCCCATCCCTCCAAAAATCTACCTTCTCTTCTCCCTAGATCCAGAGTTCCTTTTGCAACTAGGGTAGCAAGTGGCTTCCCAGGAGATGTAGGGGAGGGAGAGGGGGGGTTGGGGATTGGGGGGGTTGTCCTTTAGATGTCACCTCCCTCACTTCCCCCAAGTGTTGTCTAGCAGTACGGGGCTGGACAATCCCAGGAGTCCACGCTGATGGTGACATGGGAAGGTGGACACGTACCTCTTGAAACAGTGTGCCGCCGTCAGCACCCAGCAGCTACTCAGCAGCGTCGCTCCGCAAAGGAGCCGGCCATCTCCATGCCATGACTTCAGCCGGAGGGCCACCTGCCAAGGCCAGCCTCCCCTGCGAAGAAAGCAAGCTGCATATCCATGAAAGGAACACAAAGTAAAGACAAACACCGGTGAGGACAATGACTTTCAGGACTTGTGGATGGTGAGAGGCTCAAAGGTATTCCATGACTGAAGGGCCCTTCCTACATTCGACTTTGAACACATCCCACACGAGCAACTCTAAAGACGAGCTTGTAGGCCTTTACAGGCATCACCACAGCAATCGCTGACATATTTAGAATTGAGCCGAGTCTTCTCCATTTTGTGTGATTTGAGTGGGATTTGTCTCCTTATCCACTAACCTGAAGAAGTCACTGGTATGGCTCATTTCTGTCACCCTAGCTATTCAGGAGGCTGAGATCTGACAATCAACATTCAAAACCAGCTCAGGAAAGAAAGTCTGTAAGACTCTTTTCTCCAATTAGCCACCCAAAAAAAAGAGCCAAAAGTAGAACTGTGGCTTAAGTCATAGAGCCCCAGCCATGAGTGTAAAAAAGCAAAGGAACAGCAAGTGCCCAGACCCCAATACCAATAAATAAGTGCCCCAAAAGGTATTGAATAAACAAAGTGCCAGCTTCCTATTAGTAAATTCAAATAAAACATTCTATTACAATGAGTCAAATCAAAAATATATATATTCAAGCCGGGCACTGTGGCTCATACCTGTAATCCTAGCTACTCAAGAGGCTGAGATCTGAGGATCACAGTTCAAAGCCAGCCCAGGCAGGAAAATAGGTGAAACTCTTATCTCCAATAAACCACCAGAAAACCAGAAGTGGCGCTGTAGCTCAATTGGAAGAGCACTAGACTTAAGCTCAAGAGCTGAGGGATAGCACCCAGGCTCAGAGTTCAAGCCTCACGACCGACAAAAAAAAAAAAAAAAGTATATATTCTAGACTAAATTGGTCTGCACAATTATACATTTTTGAGGTCTCCTGTTAAAATTATTTTGTCTCTGCTACATCATATTTAGCTCATCTACATGGGCTAGAGACATAAAACTATGATCTATGTAAAATAAATGGAGGTTAAAAAAAACCATGATATTATCACTGTGATCCGTATTTGATTTAGGAAATGAAATAGATGAAACAAATTGCTTATGTAAGAACAGGCTATGCCAAGTGTGTAGCATTATATGGATACAAATAACAGTCCAATGGAAAAATTACTTTGCAATAAATTTTTACCTTAAGGAATTTTTCCCACCAATGATCCGCTTCTGTCGATGGTGCAATAATCGCAACCCACAAACAGAGGACGAGGTGTCTGAAGCAGAAATGAATGAGGCATGTCACACTGTCAATAGAGAGCTAAACACATGAGAGACAACTATCTTCTGATGAGCTCCTCCATATTTTAAATGCCCATTCTTTTCACAGGATAGGATCATTTTTTTACAATTAAAAGTAACTTTTTCATTGAACTTTTTATTGAGGTAATAATGGTACAAGCAGATGACAAACTGTATGGAGCATTCCATCACTCAACTCAGAAGGATTTCATGGGCTGCTGAATGGTTTGATCCTGTGCAGTCTCTGGTAGCTACCCAGGCCTCCTTCTGCTGGTTATAAAAGTTGTTCTGCCATTCAAGAAATGTGAAGACAGAGAATCGCAAAGATAGTAGTGGTCTAGATACAACCTTCTTCCAAGCCATAGATAAAAGTGTAACTCAGAGGAACAAAGCACACACACTTCTCAAAATAGAATATTGATCTGAATTTACATTTACTTGCTCATATACTATAGTAACATACAAAAGCCAGCATCCCAAGATCACAGATTTCTGTCAAGGATATACAAAAAAAAGTTATATTAAAAAATATATAAAGAGGGGGCTGAGGGAGGGCATTACTCAAGTGGTAAGAATGCTTGCTTAGCATGTGCAAGGCTTGGTGTTTGATTTCTTGGATTCAGTCCTCAGCAGCACACACATACACACACACACACACACACACACACACACACACACAAACTCACATGCACACACATACACGCATTATATATAATGTGCATATGAGTATCATATATACTATAGTATTTATAATCTATATATATATATATATGTCATGTATAATATATGCATTATATATGCTACAGAATAACAATGCATAGTGATATACATTATATATATCAGGTATACATGCATATGTCATATATATGAAGAGGTGATATACAAAAGATAGGTAAATATACAACATAGATTTTATATAGGGATAGTTTTTTTGCCTAAATATATATGCACAAAAGGTTAGCTGTCTGTATAAGAAGGGAATTGTGCCAAATGTATGAAGACTGAATCCTCATAATAACTAAGTTGAAGGGAATCAACTGTAGTTCACTCTTCTTCCTTCCTTCCTTCCTTCCTTCCTTCTTTCCTTCCTTCCTTCCTTCCTTCTTCCCTCCTTCTTTCCTTCCTTCCTTTCACTAGGGTTTGAACTCAGAATCTCAAAGTTGCTACACAGGGACTTTGCCACTTGAGCCACTTCAATAGACCCAAAGTAGTTAGTTCTTGACAGAGAAAGTATTTCAACAATGTGTTAATTTGCCAAATGATCTCAGAAGTATAGTGTCCAAAGCTGAACTTTCATCACTTAGGATATGAGTCATCTAGGTGACACTGCAAATTATAAGCTATTAGAAAAACAAAAATTTCCAACCATATCCAAATCATGTCAATGTACATAATTGCCAAGAAAAGGACTGATATAATACTGAGAAAGCAAAACTTAAAGTTTACATCATTCTGGGACAAAGAGTTCCTAATCACAGGGAAGGGAAATCTTTTAAAGCTATACACTGGAATAAAATATTTAATAAGCCAGATCAAGGTCTTTGGGGAAAGGACCATGAAAACAATGAGTTGCATCTGTTCATTTTATACAAGTCACCAACTCTTGAACAACATAAGACTATTTTGTTGGTAAACCATAATCAGTTTTGTAACTAGCCTGAGATGACATCTTTTTGTTGAGGTATGGTAGCATTGCAAGCCATGAAAAATATCAAAATAAGGTGCAATTCGGTGAAGGTATGAAGAAATAGTAAAACAAATCCATGATATCTCATATTTTATGCTTTTCAGCTGCTTAAGAAATTTGACTGAATCTAAAGAATTAGCTACAATTAATTCATAAGTATAATGTAAATTATTAAAAGAAATTTATTTAATTGTCATCAGCATTCAGGGAAAACTGGGTTACTACCTTGTTTTTCCACATTTAGAGGCTCTCTGATACGAAGAATCCTATAATCAATATTCAAATAATTTATTACATTGCCTTTGACAGTAATTATAAGGTGTTGAAAACCAAAGAGAGAGCCTGGCATGGTGGAACTGTATTCCCTGCACTTAGACTGGGACAGGAGGATCTAAAGTTGGAGGATACTTTGGGCTACATAGTGAATTCTAGGTCCCCTGGCTGTTCATAGCAAGTCCCTGAAAGGACAAGGAGGAGAAGCGGGGGGCGGGGGGGAGTGTAAGACGTAGAGGTGGGAGAGAGTAGAGACACAAACACCGACAGAAGCAAGAGCCATAGAAACAGAGACAGAGAATGCTCAGGTGCAACACATGCATTCAATTATGGACTTTCAGGCTGGGCACCAGTGGCTCACATCTGTAATCCTAGCTATTCAGGAGGCTGAGATTTGATGAACCAGGTTTTAAGCCAGCTCAGGAAGACAAATACAGGAGACTCTTATGTCCAGTTAACCACCCAAAAAAAAAAAAAACTAGAAATGGAGGTGTGGTTCCAGTGGTAGAGGGCCAGTTTTGAGCAACAAAAGCTAAGCAAAAAGCACGAATTTCAAGCCCCAGTACTGAAACTATAGATTTTCAACCTGGATCAAGAGATAACTAGTTGTCCCTTTCATAAAGCATAACCATAGACTATTCTAAAGTAGCTAATTCCACCACTCATTCATTCAAAGCAACATTTACTTCATAACACTTGAATTTCCTCAGAGAACTCTAAGGAATACCAACTTATTAAACTGTACAAAGTCTACTATATTCTCCCTTGCCTTAAGTTACACATTTCAGAGAATAAAAGCTTACAAAAGGTAATTTTTAGTTTTGAAATATATTTATTCTTGCTTGTTTAAAACATCAGGAACTAGGGGCTGGGAAGGTGGCTCAGTGGTAGAGCGCTTGCCTTGCATGCCTGAGGCCCTGGGTTCGATTCCTCAGCACCACATAAACAAAAAGAAAAAAGCCGGAAGTGGTGCTGTGGCTCAAGTGGTAGAGCGCTAGCCTTGAGCTGAAGAGTTGAGGGACACGCCCAGGCCCAGAGTTCAGGCCCCGTGACCGGACCCAAAAACAAACAAACAAAAAAAAAAAAACATCAGGAACTGGGTGAAGAAGTGCCTGATTTTTTAGAGACATCCCTGTTTGCATTTCTTTGCTTTTTGTGAAGTAGATGGCAATTCTGAATTGTCAAGCCTGACAGCTCTATGATACTCAAAGTAGAAACACACTGAAAGGACAAAGAATGTAAAAGGATCTCAGAGATGACAAGGTCCTAGAAAGACATCAACCAAGAACTTTGCCATCCTAGTCAGCCTCAAGTAAGCACATTTTCCCAAGAACCTAGCACTGGCTCTAAACATTGACACAAGTAACACTGTATACATTCTCTTTGCTTGGGATTTTCATGACCAGGGCACCATATGTGGGAATGAATGAAGTGGGAATGAGTAGTCTTTTATGTGTTCAGGGCCTGTGAAGGATACTTACCTTTATTACTATTTCCTGATGCTTTCTTGCCAAAATAATCACAAATAACTCCTGCATCTTCACTATGGCGGCAGTTATGTCTTCCAATCTCTTGTTTGATGCAATCGGCCAGAGACTTCTCGTTTCCTGTGCACTTCACATTGTCCATGTGGATGGGGCCTTTTCCTTCCCCAAAATAAGCCATGGTTCTTGCTCTGGCAGGACCCCTGGAAGCAAAGCATTCTTTAGGGATGTAGAGACTCAGTCAAGCACCCATGCGACTAGAGCACAGAGATCCTCTCACCTGTTCATTAACGTTGACATAGTAAAATTAATTAGCCTGTACATGTCCAGAAGACCCTTTATTTTTCCATGACTGTTCATAAATTGAAATAAGAACTGTACCCTCTTCAGTGTTATGCCCCATAGATGTTTCCTGTCATTTAACTTTTGCTTAGAAAGTCACACTAAATGGCATTTCAAAAGAAGAAAGAAAGCTAGTTTTAAACTCTAAACTGGAGGGGGGGGAATAAAAACAATTTTCAATCCTCTTAAGGTATAATAGTAAGCCAGATGTTGGGGGCTCACACCCATAGTCCTAGCTACTCAGGAAGCTAAGATCTGATGTTCAAAGCCAGCCCAAGCAAAAAGTTCATAGGATTCTTATCTCCAATTAATCACCCCTTCCCCCTTCCCAAAAATAGCCAGAAGTGGAGCTCAAGTGGTAGAGTGCTTTTGTGTCTTGAGCACAAAAGCTCAGGAACAACACCTAGGCACTAGTTCAAGCACAGACGCACACACACACACACACACACACACACACACACACACACACAAGCTAGAATATTACCAAGGAAATTTTGATATTAAATAATTCTCAGAGTCTTAAGAACTGATTCTTTGCATCCTTTAGAAGCAATTTGCAATTCTTAATAGAGAACATAGGAATTAAAAATAGAAGGCAGACTACTTTTGACATATTTCTCTTTTTCTTTCTACTAGCACACTACTTTTTTAATGTGCAAATTAGTAGGGCACTCAAATTAGTGACTCAAATCTGTAACCATAGCTGCTGGGGAGCTGGAGATTGGAGAATCATGATTCAAAGCCAGTCTGGGCATAAACATTCATGAGACTCCCATGGCTTAGCACAGCGGTATACCCCTGTCATCCCTAGCGACATCGAAAAGCACAATGGAGGATTACAGTCCAGGTGAGCCTAGCATAAACAAAGTGAGACCCTACCTCGAAAATAACCAGCCAACACTAAAAGGTGCTGGTGTGACTCAAGTGGTACAGTAACTGCTTACCAAATTGCCAGTCCTCACATTTAATCCCCATTGTACCATTACACAGAAAAAATGTATATACAAATTCAAAAACTTTTAATGCAATAAAATATTTCAACCAACCTCAAATTTAAAACTCTACTCCTAATAAATTAACAAATGTAATTATGAAAGACAAAAGCTTCAAAGTTTGAGTTATAGGGGCTGGGGGCACACAGCTCAAGTGCTAGAGTACTTGCCTAACATGCACGAAGCTCTGGGTTCAATCCTTAGCACCACCCAAAAATGTACATATATGTATATGTGTATATATACATATATATATACACATGCCTACATATATATATATTTACAATATTTGAAGAGTAGAAAATTATCCTACTGTTCAAGTATTTATTAAAGAGGGTAAAAACTATAAACAAAAAGAAAAATTCAATAAATATTAAATGAAGAACATCACTTTACTAAAAATCACCCTAAAGAGCAGGGCACTGGTGGCTCACGCCTGTAATCCTAGCTACTCAGGAGGCTGAGATCTGAGGATCGTGGTTCAAAGCCAGCCTGGGCAGGAGAGACGGTGAGACTCAATAAACCACCAGAAAACCAGAAGTGGCACTGTAGCTCAAGTGGTAGGGCGCTTGCCTTGAGCTGAAGAGCTGAGGGACAGCACCCAGGCCCAGAGTTCAAGCCCCAGGACCGACAAAAAAAAAAAAAAATCACCCTAAGGTACAACCATTGTAATAAGTATTTACAAGGCTGAGGATGTGGCTCAAGTACTAGAACTCCATCTGTGAAGAAAGCTGAACAATAGCACTAGGCCCTGATTTCAAGTCTCAATATCAATATATACACACAAAATTTACAAATATATTCGTTGGTAAATATTTTCTAATACACAAAATGGCATATATTATATAATTAATATCCAGATTTGTGTGTGTGTGTGTGTGTGTGTGTGTGTGTGTGTACACATGCTAGTTCTAAGGCTTGAACTCAGGGCCCAGACACTGTCCCTGAGTTTTTTGCTCAAGGCTAGCACTCTATTACTCTGAGCCACAAAATCTACTTCTGAGTTTTTTGGTGCGAACTGAAGATAAAAGTCTCACAGACTTTCCTGTCTGGGCTGGCTTTGAACTGTGATCCTCAGATCTCATCCTTCTCAGTAGCTAGGACTGCAGAGATAGCAGGCGTGAGCCACACCAGTGCCTGGCTCCCAGAAATAATACAAGAATAAAACGTACCAGACAGATACAACAACTTTGTATTTTATACCAAAGGAAATATCAACGGCCAAGAAACAAATGGAAGCATGTCGATCATTAGTAAGCAGGGAGATGTACTAAGTAAAACACTACCCCAGCTGCCCACAGATTAAATCTGTTTGTAAATTAAACAGAGTTTGTTTGTTATGTAAGGAAGTGAAAAGTATTCTTACATCTCTTGATAAGACCAAGTCAACACAATGCCTACAAGCCAGAAGTTCTACTCTTAATTATATTTTTGAAAAAAAAAACTTTTAAGAATACCATCAGAAAATCCTAAGAATGTTCTTAGCAGTCATTATATTTTTAATTAATTTTTTTTTTAGTCCAGTTGTGGGGCCTGAACTCTGGGCCTGGGTGCTGCCCCCAACCCCTCAGCTCAAGGCTAGCGCTCTACCACTTGAGCCATAGCGCCACTTCCGGCTCTTTTCTTTTTGCTTATGTGGTGCTGAGGAATTGAACCCAGGGCCTCATGCATGCAAGGCAAGCGCTCTACCACTGAGCCACCTTCCCAGCCCCAGCAGTCTTGATATTTTTAAAAGCAAAACTAGAAATGATGTTATGATGATTTGAATGCCCTCCTCAAAACTCATGTTCAAGTTTAATAGGATTGTCTAAGAGTGGGACCAGATGGGGCTTTCAAAGGATGAGACAGAGCCTCATGAATGGGTGCATCCATCCATGGATTAGTAGATCCGAGCATTCATGGATGATCTCAATACTGATCTGGTCTACTAGAAAAGCCAGTTCAATTTGGTCCGTTGTCGGTACCCTTCTCATCATTTGCTGCTGTGAGCCACCTTGGAATGCCACTCTCAAAAGATCAGCTCATAGACCTAGAGGTTGGAAGGTAAACAGCCTACATTTTGTTTAAGGATTGTTCACTTACTTTTTTTCTGTTATCTTTAAGGATTTTGACATGTCAGCTGATGAATATAAGACATCATGACTAGTGTCACCCTGTCTTGCAGTATTCAGTTAAAGCAATGGGGAATGAATTAATAAAGATAAACAACCCAGAATCAACACCATAAATAAATAAATTGGATAGTTAACACAATTTAATAATATAGAGAAAAATGCATATGAATAGATTATAGTCACTTGGATCAACAGAGATAAATCTCAAAAGTAAATCTAAGAATAGTGATAAGAAAGTGAAGGACCTAAAGTAGTAATGGTTTAACTTTCAAAAAACAGATTGTTTTTAATAGATAAAGCTACACTTAAGGATGTCACTAGTTTTAAGGTTATGAAGATTCAATGAAATGACACTGACATTTGAGACAGTGGTCACTTTGGGACGGTAAAGTAAGAATGTCGGATTGGCCCACAAGGAGCTTAAAATTACAATAACATTCTTTTTTCCAAGCTTGGTTATAGAAACCAAGGTTTGTGTAATGTCCTCCAGACTCTGTATATATGTGTCTGTGTGTGTGTGCACGTACACAAATACACACAGACACATATACGCACATACGTATACATGTTCTGCTAAGGAAGAAAATTTTAAATTTCAAAGATAAAATAACTAAGAAGTATTTTCTCTTCATATATTTTTAATAGATGACAAGATCAAATCTACTTATGAAAATGATTTAACTTTTTTTTTGTCAGTCGTGGGACTTGAACTCAGGGCCTGGGCTCTGTCCCTGAGCTCTTTCAATCAAGGCTAATGCTCTACCACTTTGAACAACAGCACCACTTCTGGTTTTTGAGTGGTTAAGTGGAGATAAGAGTCTCACGGGCTTTTCTGCCTGGGCTGGCTTTGAACCATGATTCTCAGATCTCAGCCTCCTTAGTAACTAGGATTACAGGAATGAGCCACCAGCACCAGCTCTGATTTAACTTTTAAATGTCATATACAAAATGTGAAACTTAAATCTTTGCAGTTACTTCAATGTAAACACAAATTAGATATACTTTAATTTTGATTGTTAATAAAACAGTGTTACACCAATTTTTAAAAGAAATTATTTAAACCAGACACTGGTGGCTCACGTCTATAATCCTAGCAATTCATGAGGCTGAGATCTGAGGATTGCAGTTGGAACCTAGCCTGGGCACAAAAATATATGAGACTCTGATCTCCAATTAGTTACCAAAAATGGTGGTTAACTGAAGATCAGAATATCACAGACTTCACTGCCTAGGCTAGCTTTGGATTGTGATCCTCAGATTTCAGTTTTCTGGGTAGCTAGGATTATAGGCATGAGCCACCACTGTCTGTCTTATTAGACTCTTACTAGATTTTTTTTAAGCTTTTTTATGTGCTGTACTGTATATTTCAAGAGGGGAAAAAAGAAAAGTTTAGCAAGATACTATTTGTTACTTCTTTATAATTCTGAATTAAGTCAATAAGCTGACTACATTTTCAACTGGGAGGCATTATTAGATTTAGGGAGCTAGGGGCATGGTTCAAGGCACTGCGTTTGAACACCAGAGCTGTCTCTAAAAAAAAGAGGCACTAATGAGAACAAACCTCAAAACAAATCGGAAATGTTCAGCAAGAAACCAATCCAAATAATGAGCGTCCTTACTTATAGCCAAGCTGCCGGCAGATCACAGTGGCGTCCTTGTCCGTCCATCCATCATCACAGATTGTTCCCCACTGGCCATTGATAAAGACCTCCACTCGTCCTTCTTTCTTATTTTCTCCATCCATCAATCTGATAGGAAAACCTAACCATGATTCAAAAGTATTAGAAAAGCCAAACCAGCAAACTTATACTAAGGCATGAGACTTTACAGAACACATTTTTTTTTAAAAGATCAGATATAAAATCAATTGGGCAATTTGTTTGAGGGAGAAAAGGAAGAGATATCAATAAAACCCTATATCTACATCTATGTATTTAGAAATATCAACGTCAATGTGCTCACATTGCTCAAGCTTGTATCCCCAGCATTCAGAATTTTGCCTGCTATCTATAGAAAAACCAATAGCTGTTCGTTAAATGAATGAATGGCACTATAGAAGTGAGAGGGTTTTTTAAATTACAACTAATTTCTAAATATTAAAAGAACATGAATCTAGATTTGTGTTTACTTCTTATCTTTAAAAAAAAATCTATGAACCAAGCCAGGCATACCTATAATCCTGGCTACTCAGGAGGCTGACATTTGAAGTTTGAAGCCAATCTTGGGCAGAGAAATTTGAGAGACTCCTAACTCCAACTAGCCAGCAAACAGCCCAAAGTGAAGGTGTGACTTACATGGTAGCCTTGAGCATAAAAGCTATTCAAGAGCATAAGGCCATGAGTTCAAGCTCCAGGGCTAGCATCAATCAATCAACAAATAAATAAATGAAAAGATGATTCAATCCTGAGGTTAAAGTCAAGGCCTACCTATGTCTATTTTAACATCTATTCACACACGCAGGGATGTATACCATAGTTGCACAGACTTTTCTTCCCAGCTTCAAACCACAATCCTCCAAATTTCAGCCTCCTGCGTATCTAGGATTACAGGCATGAGCCACCAGCACCTGACTTCCCTCTATATTTTTCATTCATGTTTATTCTGCCCTTTTCACCAGACATTGAGAATTTGTCTAGAATGCTTAATTGTTGTTTGAAGATCTTTATCTAAATTATTTCAGGACTGTGAGAGAATCTAGTTACCTGTTATCCAAACAGGAGACTGAAAAGATATATATAATTGGGGAACAGGAAAGATACCTGATAGGGAACTTTCTAGAAAATTGTATTTTAGAAAGGTGGGGAAGAGGGTCTATTAAATGACTCCACTTAGAACACCACTGAGATCGCTGAAGAAGCAACAGATAGCTAGTGACAAAGCACTGAACAGTATGGGGGAAGGGAACAATCTAATTTTTACATAAAATCATGTCCTAGCCTCTTGTCTGTAATCCTCGCCACCCAGGAGACTAAGATTTGAGGCTCATAGTTTGAAGCCAGCCTGGGCAAACAAATCACGGAGACTCTTCTCTCCAATTTAACTGGTAAAAAGCTGAAAGTGGAGACATGGCACAAAGTGGCAGAACACTAGCCCTGAGTGAAAAAGTCAAGAGAGAGTGAGAGGCCAGGAGTTCAAGTCCCAGTTTTGGCAAAGACTTAGGAGTCCAGATCAATGAATACTGAAACAAGTGATGGAGGGATGGATGAATGGATAATTTTGGTTTTTCTACCTTTCAGATACATGCGATTATAAGCACATTCCATGAGAAAGATTTCCATGTCACACACATGCAAAAATTGAGGAGGAACAAATTTCATCTGTGGAAAGACTCAAGGATTGTTTTTCTTGGGAAACCCACTTGTAAGCAGAGTATCAATGATGAGACGTGTTTCCCGTGCAGGCCAGTGGTTTGAGCGGGGGTAAATCTCAAGTGCAGCAGGAAATGCTCACCTTGGGAAAGTCTGCGCATATCGCTGCCAAGGTAGCAGGCGATGCCCACATCTTCTCGGTGGCTGCAGTCATGCCGGCCCCACGGCTTCCTGGGACACTGCAGGAAATGGCTTTCCTTCCCAGAGCAGCTGACATCATCCAGCCATATGGGCCCTGAGCTCTCTTCAATATGGTTTGCAGAGACTTGTTTGCCATATCTGTGGCAATGAAACAAACATTCTGCACACGACTGCTGCCTTACATTTCAGGGAACCATAAAACAAACAAGCTAATTAAGCGTCATGACTTCAGAGGGCAGGCATTTGGTCTTTCTCTTACCTTGGAGACTCAGAGTGGTGTTTGCTTTCATCGTACGTTTTAATCCTCTTAATAATTTCTGATTGATTCCATAAGTAACTAACGGGGAATTCGTTCTTGTGTCTGTCTACAGTTTAACCTTTCAACCAAGGGGATTAACTTCCAATTCCCAATTTTGTGAGAATCCCTGGGAACTGTCTGTCTGATTTTGGCCTTTGCTGAGCTTTCTGAGCTCATGTGATTGTTATCCTATCCCCTACAGGTCTTTGGTATTCTCCTCTCCAAAATAAAATGCAGTGACTGCTCAAACCTGGTGCCCCACCCAGAATAAAGTTCTGATGTCAGCCCATGAAAATCATAATGATGCTTTACATGTAAGTTTAATTTTTATCAATTTTGACACTGGCATTCCAATTGACTTTCTAGTTTATATCATATCATACGTATTTGTAAGGAATTATATGCTATAAAATAGGAAATACCTGTAAAACTTCTCTCATCCTCCTTTCAATCTCCCTTTGGTTCCAAAAATATCCAAGTTTCCAGAAATCAGTGTGCTTAAAAGATCTTTATGGTGTCATTGTGTTCTAAAAGTTGATGAAATTCAACTCTAATTCATAATAAGGTTTGTGCCAATCATTTTCTCACTTAATGTTTCTTATTTTTGACATTAAGAATATAAAAAGTGCCAGGCACTGGTGGCTCATGCCGTAACCCTAGCTACTCAGGAGGTTGAGGTCTGAGGATCATAGTTTGAAGCCAGCCTGGGCAGGAAAGTCTATGAGACTCTTATCTCCAATTAACTACCAGAAAGCTGGAAGTGGAGCTATAGCTCAAAATAGTAGAGCACTAGCTTTAAGCAGGGACAGTGCTCAGGCCCTGAGTACAAGTCCATGACTGAGCCAAAAAGAAGGAGGAGGAGGAGGGGTAAGAGGAGCAGGAGGAGGAAGAGAAGGAGGAGGAAGAAGGCTCTTTTAATTCGCCATGAATTTCTCCAGTTGTTTAACTGTATTTAACCACCTGACATGTAAAAAAATTAAAACAATGCACTTTTTCATTTATCTTCATTTTCTTCCATCATCTTTCTAACTCATCAGTTGTAAATCTTGTATTGCTATCACTTTCAACTTACCCCTTCCTCCTAAAAACATGCGTCAGTCTGTCATTCTCAACTATATATATAACATACATATACCAGGAAGTTGTTTTGTGCCAATGCTAAATCTTGCATGGCCACTTGAGCCATACCTTCATTCCAAGCTTTTTGCTGGTTACTTAGAGATAAGAATCTCCTAAATTCGTCTACTTGGGCTGGTTTTGGACAGCAATCTTACAATCTTAGCTTCTCTAGTAGGTAGGATTACAGGCATGAGTCACTGATACCCAACTCCAGGAAGTTATTTTAGTTCAATATTTTACTACTATCAAGAAACACAAGGTTTTCTCTTTTCCTCATTCCAAATGAGTTTTCTTTCAAAAATTCCTCAGTAAACTACATGTAGCACATGCTCACAGCAACACATTAAGAGAACACTTTTAGAACCAGTGAGTATTCTATCTATGAATGAAAGAAAAGCTGGATTGATTTACAAATGAAAGTAATAAAACATGGAGGAAAAAGTTACTATCACAATTCTTTACTGAGGAAAATGGTGAAAATGTATGAAAAACAATGGGGTTTATGAATCTCTCTGAATTTGTGAAAGCAGATCACAGTTTTCTGTGTAACAGATTCACAAACATAAAATGACATGTGCTAAGTAATTCCTAGTAGTTGGCAGTAATTATTTGGCTGATACATCATACCCTCTGACCTAATAATTTTATAAATGTCCTGTCTGGGGCTGAGCCAAGCCTGTAATTCTAGCTACTCAGGAGGCTGAGACCTGAGGGCCATAGTTCAAAGCCAGACCTAGGAGGAAAGTGTGAGATTCTTATCTCCAATTAACCACCAAAAAGCCAGAAATGAAGCTATGGCTCAAATTGTAGAGCACTGGCCTTGAGCATAAAAGCCCAGGGATAGCACCCAGGCCCTTAGTTCAAGCCCAGTACTGGCAAAACAAAACAAAACTGCTCTGCCCAGTAAATTTCAAAATATGGAGTAATTATACGTATTTATACCCTCATGAAGTATTGTTTACAACTAATCTAATATGAAATTAATATCTACTTAAAATTAACTTGAATATTACATAAATTATGACATGACTATCATGACTATTTAGTGGATATGAGGTTAACATGAAAACTTGTGACTTACGTAGCCATATAAAGTAAAAAAATATGCAGTCAAAACTCCAATGTTCATTGTTAGAGGAGATACAGTTATATGTACAAGTTATAATAACAAGAGTACAAAAAGAAAAAATTATATAGTATTTTATTTATTTCTTTTCCAAACTTCCTTTTATATTGTTTTTATAAATTTATATATATATTAATTTGTAATGTAAATATATATTTAAACAGTATTTTTTCTTCCTTTTCCAAACTTTCTCTTTTCTATTGTTTTTATAAATTAATATGCACATTAATTTATAATACATTGTTTATTTATATATTTTAACATGTTATCCTAGCATACAGTTTTTAAGGTTTAGTGCACATTTGCAATTAGCTTCAGCTCAAGCTGAAAGGAAAGAATTTTGTCAATCATTTAAGCATGAAAACACCACTTCAAGCATGACAGAAATATGGAAAACAAAGAATGGTCATTCATGGGTTTTGTCCAAGTATTTGCTCAAAGGCACCATTACTGCAGCTATTACTGCAGTCAATATAAGTCCTCACACTAGAATGCATTGTGCATATGACACGACATGGAATACATGGCCCAAAGTGTGAAACGTAGCCAAGGCGAGTTCTAAAGGTCATCTCATGACAGAGTGCTGTTTTCCTCAAATAACAGTGATCATTATCACAGCATTCTGACATGTCACTGGGCTGCACTGAAATGTTAGACACCATGATGTCAAAACTAACAACATCCAATGGTAGAGAATGTCTGAGGACATGATGCCTTCAGTATTACTTGCAGAGAATCAAAGGGATTTAGAAGTCACCACTGACTTCAACTGATTTGTTTAAGGAGAGAGGGGGCAGGAAAGTTGACTGACGCAAATGGCAAGGAATGGTTATTGGTCATCTTAGAAGTTGTTGTGTTTTATTGTTGTGTGCCCATCAGTAAGCAGGCAGAAAGATGATAGATAGATAGATAGATAGATAGATAGATAGATAGATAGATAGATAGACAGACAGACAGACAGACAGGCAGGCAGACAGACAGATAGATTTCATAGATTGGATGGATGGATAGATGGACAGATGGATGGAAGATTGATTTTATATATATATATATATATATGATAGAAAATAAATAATGGAATGGATAGATAGAGGGAAGCAAAGAAAGAAAGAAGGAAAGAAAGATAGATAGACAGACAGATAGGTGAAAAGATATATTTTTAGTATGGTAGAAATTACAAGTCAAGATTCCACAAGAAGACTTTTAAAGATACAACTTGGCATTTAGCTGCTTCATAGTGCCAGGTCTTACTTAAATCCCAGCTGTCGACAAGCCACATATGTGTTCGACTCCGTCCAGCCATCGTCACAGACGGTCCCCCACTGGCCCCTATAGTACACTTCCAGGCGGCCTTCGTGGATTCCTTTCCCACCTGCAAGTCGGATGGCTCCATCTATGACAAGAAAGAGACACAGGGTCTAAGCAAATCAATTCTCCAAAGGTGAAAAAGCAAAACAACCCTTAGATACTGCCAGAAATATCACCATACTCAGGCCTCCCTCTATGTTCTTCATTAAGCGTACAGTCCCATTCCCTCAGTGGTGACTGACGCCGTCACATTGCTTCTGACAACATCACGTTGTTTCTGACATCTGACACAACACACATCTCTTCCTAGTAACAGCCCACCTGTTCTGTGAGTAGAAAAATAGTTCCAAGTACATATTCTGATTTCTCTAGATGAAATACTATTTGGGAAATTTTTGATGATCAAGTTGTGTTTATGCCTAACCATATTTTGCTGATATTTTAAAAGCCAGAAAACACTGTAACTTGGAATTAGTTCAAACTTTTAACTGCAAACCAAAAAATACAGAACGATGAAGACCGAAAAAATTATTCTGGAATAAGGAAAATTGTATCCTGTCCATAGTTTTATTATTCCATGTGCATCCATGAATGATAAAAATTAGAGCACTCTCCTTGCCTTTGTTCTTTTATTAATAATACAGATCTGAAATCTAAACCTTTATTAACAATGAGTAATCAGATTCCAGAGAACTCTCTTAAAAGTTTCTAAGCAAAATAAATCAATTTAAATCCATAAAAGGTAGACTTAAAGCTATGTCTATCCAAAAAGATCCAACTCCTCTCCCTCCATAAAGCAAAGGTCATAATTTTCACGAAGCTCTGGGATCTTTTAAAGCAATAAAAGTCTTTCAGACAAAGATCCTTCTGCTAATAAATTACCATCCATAACACTCTGTGGAATCTGTTGTCATCACAGCAATAATACAAGTTTATAATTATTTAGAAAAGGGTTAAATGGCAGGAAATTAAATGTTCTTGCTCAACCTTATATGTTAGAGACTTGCTGTGCTGCTAACAAAAACAACAGGTTTTCCCATGTTAATAAAAGATATTCATTTAGAATGTCATTGGCCTCTAAGAAGTTACTCTCTTCTTTTTCCTTGTGTGTGTGTGTGTGTGTGTGTGTGTGTGTGTGTGTGTGTGTGAGTGTGCGTGCGTGTACATGCAGGCTCCTAAACTGGAGCTTGAACTCAGGGCCTCATGCTCTTGCTTGGTGTTTTCACTCAAGGCTGATGATCAACCACGCGGGCCATACTTCTACTGGCATATGGCTGGTTAATCAAAATTGAGTCTCTCAGATTTTTCTGCTGGGGCTGGCTTTGAACCTGGATCCTCTGGCCTCTTCCATGTGCTTCCTCTATCATGGGCCCAGAAACAATAGAGCTAAGGATTATGAACTAAAAATCTCTGAAATGTAGAGCCAAAAGACAAAGTTTCCTCCTTGAAGCTCATGTAAGGTATTTTGTTACAGCAACTTAAAAACTAACACATTATAAGTGGTAACCCCTCTGTACAACCCCTTAATAATAATAGTTATTGTTTTTAATAGCAATAATAGTTCTTAAAAATAACAAAAATAGTTTTTAACACATCATAGAAACAATAGATTTATGACAAACCAAATTCTCCTCATTTCTGTTTTTTCTTCTTCCTTCCAAACTCATAAGAATGTATGCCAAGGGCAACTCTACTCTGACATGACATTCTTATAACACATGACCTATTTGGACAGGCACACTGCCATGTGGCATACTCTGAAAAAGAGCTCACCCAAGTTAATCTGGTTTCTTTAGCCATGTGCTTTAAGCAACAATCACATCAGTACAGCTGTATATCAGCTAGACACGTGCTCTGAGAGCCAAACTGGTGCATCAAGGAATAAACTAAAAACATGAATGAATGTCTGCAATGTATCACTGCACATTTATTTTGATTATTGGGTTTCTGTGATGCAACAAAGTTATATTTTTTGACCTGGCCTTCTGAAACTTTAAATGGAAAATTTCAGAAATAAATAATGAGCTGGGCGTGAAGAGCACACGTTTGTAACTCTAAATATTCAGGAGGCTGAGATCTGAGGATCGTTGTTCAAAGCCAAGCCAGGGCAGGAGAGTCCCTAAGACTCTTCTCTCCAGTTAATCACTAGAAAAATGGAAGTGGAGCTGTGGCTCAAAGTGGTAAGGTGCTAGCCTTGTAGAAAAAAAATAGACAATGAATATAAAGATTAAATTTTAATACATAGTTTGTATTATGTTCATTTAATAGTAATATTCAAATAAAGGAGTAAGGAAGCTGTGGGCTGCCAAGATGGTACTAGGGGCCAGGATAAGCCTCTTACCAGTTAGAGGGGTACAGGACACCCCAGCATCTTCTTTATGGAGACAGTTATGCTCTCCCCAGGGGCTCTTTGGACACTGATCGATTGAAAATTCATTCCCAGTACATCGGACTTCATCCAACAATATTGGGCCAAACCCTTCCCCAAAAGATGCTTGGTTCCAGGCCTTGGCGATGCCACTGAGAAAACATAAGAACATAAGCATTCTGGGCTTGACAACAAAACTTTCATGACTTTTCTTTTGTCTATGGTTAAAGATTATCATCAGTTCACTGAATGGGTGATTATGATTTTCTGTATTTCGTTTTTCTGTTCATTTGTTGTATTTCTTTACATTTTCTATGATCATATCTATCTCAAAGACTGGTAGCTATTCTCATATATTTACCCTACTTTGCTTTTTGGAAGAGGGTGAGAAAATGGCTGTCCAAAATAAAGACCAGGCCCCTCTCCTTCTAGATGACTTTGTTCATTTCGTAACATCAGATCTATCTCTCCGTCTACTTTTAGTGTACAGGGCATCAATTATGCTGCGTAAGTGTAAGTACATCCATTCCAGAACTTTTGTCAGTATCCCCAATACAACACCAGCATGACAGTGCTACCAATGATAGTTGAAGAAGCGTGTATCAATTATCATTTCTAGGATGTGTCCTTGTCTCACACCCTTATTCCTGCTCACTACAAAGCAAGGGTGATGGCTGGAGCTTGAGAAGTCACTGATCTTGGTCCCTAGGGTACTATTTTAAGGATGACAGATGTGACTTAAGTGGTAGAGTGACAGTATTGAATAAAAAAAGCCAAGCCAGCTGCTGGTGGTTCACACCTGTAATCCAAGTTACTCAGAAGACTGAGATCTGAGGATTGAGGTCTAAAGCTAGCCTGGGTAGGAAAACTTGTAATATTCTTATCTCCAATTAACCACCAAAGAAGCCAGAAGTAGAACTCTGGCTCAAAGTTTAGATCACTAGCCTTAAGCAAGAAGAAGCTGAGGGACAATATCCAAGTCCCTAGTTCAAGACCTAGAACCAACACAAACAAAAGCCAAGTGAAAGTACAAGATCTTGAGTTTAAGCTACACTACTGGCAAATAAACAAACAAAAAAGGAAACTTTTTTAAAGACAGAAAAAGGTTAACATTGGCCAGGTGCTGATGGCGCATGCCTGTAATTCTAGCTACTCCAGAAACTGAAATTTGAGAATTGCTGGTTCAAAGTCAATCTGGGGAAAAAAACAAAAACAAAAACGAATGAGACTCTTACCTCTAATTAACCAGCAAAAAGCCAGAAGTAGAGATGTAGCTCAAGTAATATGGTGCTAACATTGAGTGAAAGAAAGTTAAGCAAGAGTGCGAGGCCCTAAGTTCAAGTCCTAGTATGGGCACAAAAAATAATAATATATGAATAAAAGGATGTTAGAAAGGAAGAAAGAAAGGTCTAGAGCCTTGAAAAGTATACAACTCAGCAAATTAGCATTGTACCTGTCACCTCTGGTCTTTTCTTTCTTATCCTTTTTTTTTGGGGGGGAGGGGCTGTGGTGTTTGAACTCAGGAACTTACGTTTGTCAAGCTGGCACTCTACTGCTGTGTAATGTCTCATGCCATACTTTTTGCTGGATATTTTTAGGATAAAGTCTTGCTTTCCTCCAGAACACGCCTGCCTGGACTGTGATCCTCTTACTTCTGTTACACTCCACCATATCCCCAAAGCTTCTCTGTGGAGCTGGAACTCTTACCAGGCTTCCCAGTTTAGGCTGACCTTGAACTGAGATCCTCCTGAGCTCTACCTCCAGATCACTAAGACTTACAGGTGTGAGCCACTGGCTTCTGACTCTTTTTTTTTTTTTTTTGTCAGTTATGAGGCTTGAACTCTGGGCCTGGGTGCTGCCCCTGAGCTCTTCAGCTCAAGGTGAGCACTCTAACACTTGAGTCACAGTACCACTTCCGGTTTTCTGGTGGTTTACTGGAGATAAGAGTCTCACGGGGCTGGGAAGATGGCTCAGCGGTAGAACGCTTGCCTTGCATGCATGAGGCCCTGGGTTCAATTCCTCAGCACCACATAAGCAAAAAGAAAAAAGCTGGAAGTGGCGCTGTGGCTCAAGTTGTAGAGCGCTAGCCTTGAGCTGAAGAGCTGAGGGACAGCGCCCAGGCCCAGAGTTCAGAGTTCAGGCCCCACAACCAGACCTAAAAAAAAAAAAAAAGAGTCTCAGGGACTTTCCTGCTCAGGCTGGCTTTGAACCGCAGTCCTCAGATCTCAGCCTCCTGAGTAGCTAGAATTATAGGCATGAGCCACCGGTACCTGGCTATGGCTTCTGACTCTTGAAAGAGAAATAAACTTTAGCTTAACGTTGTTTAAGCTACTACTACAATTATGTCTTGGTGGTAGACAGCTAAACTAATCCCTAAGGAAAACACCTTCAGCCAAATATAGTGGTAGAAAGTTTACTTTTCTCAAAATTCAAAGTCGTATCATAACCTTGAATCCAAGAGTTGGATAAAGATTGTGATAATCTGTCAAAATAACTAATGACTTTAGAAAATGCATTTTCACCTCCAGTTAGCCTTTTAATTTTTAGACTTGTATATGTTGTTTGCTAATAACATTGTCTCTAATCTCTATTGTTTTTGTTCTCTATTATTTTGAGAATCTACAACCAAAATATCAAGGAAAAGTCTGTTAAATGGTCTTGACAGTCCCATAATGGTAAAATCTTAGAGTCAGTTTTTTGGTTGAAGAAAATCTTGTTTGATTACTTTAATAGGTATTGTGGAATGGCTTTTACGAGTACATATATTTTAAAAAATTAACAAAAATATTTAGCCATTAAGCACATCTTGACCAGTAAAACAAAATAAGATGAATTTATTTGTTCCTTTATCACCTGACCAACTTTTTGTTTAAAATTCACAGAGTATAACTAAAGGAAGAATAAAAGAGTATTTACAGTAATGGGGGCACAGGGAAAGCTGGAGAAAGAAAACAATAGTTAATTTTCCCATTGAAATAGCATATTTTTATTTGTGTGCTGTTAAAAATATTAAATTGGAGCAAGGGAAGGGGTAGCATTGTCCAAAAATAAATATACTCTTTCACCTGCCTTATGGAACTGTAAGCCCTCTGTACATCACCTTTAGAGTAACAATACAATTTTTAATTTAAAATTGGAGATCCTGACACTTGAATTTCTCTCTGATGTTTGCAGAACTGAAGGGTCGGAGTAACCCTTCTTCCCCAACAAATATCAAAGAGTAATATCTGGTACTGAAGGACAAATGTGAGAACACAACAAAGAGGTCCTAACACAGATGATGTGGTCCAAATGACCATTTCCTGAATGAGTATTTTGTTTTGCTATGGGAAATGTAACAACCAAACAGAAAAATCTAAATGCTCCATTGATGGGATTGTCTTTAGTGAAACTTTCAGTTGTTTCAGAATACTTTCACACGCCTTACAAAAGGCTACAGAAGGCAGGCGTATATAAAATCTTTAATTGTACAGAGGAGCTGCTATTCACCGAATCAGTTTGTAAATACAGTGCCATCTTCATCAATGTCACTGTTTTCAACATTCTCACCCACCCCTCCCAATATACCCCTTCCCTCCCCCATTTATCTTAAAGTTAGGTTATGTGTTGAATTTTTTGCCATTTAAGCAATTGATGTGTGCAATGCATCTTGATCTGTGTCATCACTTCAACATCTTCACCTCCTTCCACTCACCCCTTCCTTTATATTTCTCAGATCTGTGGTTATATACAATGAATTCTTGCCTGCATTCCCCCCACCCATTCACTTTCATTCTTCTACCCCTCCCCCCTTGGCCCACCCTCCACTCTAGCAATTATCCTAGTACTTACTTTGTTGCGCTTTGACTTACTCTTTTTTTTTTTTTAAGAATTATGCTATTCGCACTCTCCATAGAGTCTATTACACTTCAGTTAATTCAATTAATGAGGGAAACCATGCAACAGATGTCTCTCTGGCTTACTTTACTTAACATAATTTTTCTTAAGTCTTTTATTTCTTTTTTTGGGGGGGGTCCGGTTGTGGGACCTGAACTCTGGGCCTGGTCACTGTCCCTTAGCTCTTCAGCTCAAGGCTAGCACTCTACCACTTAAGCCACAGCGCCACTTCCGCCTTTTTTTTTTCTGCTCATGTGGTGCTGAGGAATTGAACCCAGGGCCTCATGCATGCAAGGCAAGTGCTCTACCACTGATCCACCTTCCCAGCCCCAAGTCTTTCCATTTCTTTACAAATGATACAATATCATTCTTTCTGATGGGTGAGTAGAATTCCACGTGTATATATACCATATTTTCTTGACCCATTTGTCCACTGAAGGGCATCTGGGCTGATTCTATATATTGGCTATAGTAGACAATGCTGTAATGAACATGGTTGTGCTGGTAGCTTTAGTGTGGCCTTCTTTGTGCTCTATTGGGTAAATGTCCAGGAGTAGAACTGCTGGGTCACAGAGTAGTTTTATGTTTAATTTTTTGAGGAATCTCCATATCTCCATATTGCTTTCCACCCCCCCCCAAATATATATCAAATAGTCCCTCTGTATCTCTCTGTGTCTGGGGAATATGTTCCAAGGTATCTAGCAGATACCTGAAAGGGCAGATACTACCAAACCCTGTGCATATCATATATGCCTATGATAAAGTTTCATTTATCAATTTTGCATAGTAAGAAATTGATGAGCTGGGCATGGGTGGCTCACACCTGTAATCCTAGATACTCAGGAGGCTAAGATCTGAGGATCACAGTTCAAAGCCAGCCCAGGCAGGAAAGTCTGTGAAACTCTTATCTCCAATAAACCACCAGAAAACCAGAAGTGGCACTGTGGCTCAAGGGTTAGAGGGCTCACCTTGAGCTGAAGAGCTCAGAGAGAGCACCCAGGCCTAGAGTTCAAGTCCCACAACCAACAAAAACAAAACCAAAAAAGAAAGAAAGAGAGAGAGAGAAAGAAAGAAAGAAAGAAAGTTTATAATAACTTTTACCAAAATAGACTGGTTCTAATAACATACTGAAATAAAAGTGATCTGGATGTCTCATTTCACAATGTATCTTACTATACTATGCTCATCTTTTTCTTATGAAGATGTGAGATGACACACAGTTTTACACAGAGATAGGGTGAAAGGAAGGACAAAGACACCAAGAGACAGTGTTAGG